CATTCAACTCTTTATTACACCTGACTGTGTTTTTTTAATTTCCAGAACTTAAACGTCAGAATGAATCAGCGCTTTTTAGGCTAGAAGTACCACCCTGAAGGCAGTTTGATCGACAGGACTGATAATAAACAATGGATGAATCAGTCGCGGCTATGTTGATGCCCAGAAGAGATAAAGTTTTTGAAAAGTTTTTTATCAACTTTCTAGATAGCATAAAGAAGTTAGATGGGCTTGTGGTAGCATTGTAAAAGCATTTATTTTCATATGAACTTCAATTCACTATTTTGAAATTTGATTGTATTCATTGGGTTTTAAATTCACAGATTTTTCAGTGAAATGATGAGATCAATTATTATGATGAGTTCTATATTCAGCAGGTTCCTCTCATCCAATCAATGATTGATTAATTAATGAGTTTATAATATTGTTCCACCGATATCTCAAATTGAAGTCATTCAATTCACATGGAATTCAAGATTCAGAGACTGGTTATTTCTATACTAATTTATTAAAATATTCTCTTGATTTTCTAGGTGAAAGATCTTCTATGACTTTATAATACAAGTATACAAGCAGATTTTTAAAAAAATGATAACAAAAATTCAGGTAAAATCATTTTTATATTTACATGAATTTTAAACTTAAATTAATAAATTGACCAGAAATTGTTTTCTTTTTTATGGAAATTTTTCTTGTCATCTTTTTTGTGTTGGATTTGTTCACAATCAATATACTGTGTGATATCTTTTTTATATTTACATCACAGTGTTAAAATGGACTTTTATGTTTAATGGTCTAATCTAAATCATCATGTAAGTCAGTATTTAGTGAGAAAGTTACTGATATTGCCCAAATGTTGAATCATACATGCTGACTCAGTGAATGTCTTAAAGTTCGACTGATTAAACGAAAAATTGCTAATAGAGGTATACAAGTTCTCATAATTTTGTCGTGAGAATGGAACAATTACCGACACATATTCAATGCATTTTATTTCCTTTAAGTTCCTTTCATTATTTATTTTAACCTATAAGCAAATAAAAGTTAACCGTTGAATTTGTTTTTCATCTCCGCAATGTTTTGTTCGTGTCGGTAATCACATACAAGTCAAACAACCACGAAGCAGTCTGTGCAAATGTGTGCTTTATTACGATTTACTTTAAAACTAAAAGGAAATGGTACCGTCTCTCACCTGATCTTGAAAAGCTTTTTAAAATAGCCTTTTTTTCACTCCATATATATAATATCATTTCTGCGTCAATTGTCTTTCACTACTTGATAGTCCATTTGATTTAGTTGATTTAGAGTGAGCCTTGACAGCAGATATAAAACGCTTTCTCTGCTGAAGTATTCCCTTCGGTCGATGATGTCTGATGCGGGGGTTTTTGAGACTTTATTTTATTGAGATTGGCATTTTTGGGAGTTAATTTGCAAGAAATTGGTTGAAAACCGTTCAAATAATGTATAAAAGTGTCAATAATTTATGCAGAATTCCAAAAATATTGGTGCTGTTTTTTTTTGTTCAAAGTGGCGTTGTGCAGACGGAGCATACCGTAACAATCAAAGTAATCTTGGTACTTGTCTCCTATTTAAGTGCTAAAGTGCCTCTTTTATGTCGTGCTGCTTTCCATCGTGAGCCAGTGCTTGCGATCGCAGTGCCCTGGGGTCCTTGTGGAGCGTACTAGAACCAATCAGTCATTCAGAACTTAAGCTTTCATTGTTATGAGTAACGTGAATTACAATGAGAAAAAGTAGAAAAAGCGAATCAAGAATATTTTAAAATGCAACACAAATAATAAAATAAAATCAAGTCAAGTTTATCAGTTAATCAAAAAAACATGCTTGTTAATAGTAATAAAAATCGTTAAATCCAAAGTAGTACTGGTATATACATATAGATATGTTAAAGACTGTCGTCACGTAGCATATTCCAATTTTCTGTGCAATGTAAATTACCCACATTTTATATGTTGTATGTGGCCGGTATTGAAAACAAATTTGCACAACTACGGTGACACGTTAATATTCATATAATATTAAGGGTAAAGCAAAGGGCAACCGTAAATGTATTGTTTATATTCTCACAATTTTAGCATGCATGGCCATTCTGATTTCTTCACTCAAGAGACAGTTGATAATCATGCAGTCTTTATTATTCATTTCAAGGTCATTTACTTCGAAAAATGAAAAGAAAATTTCTTTAAAAAATTACCATAAAATGCTTGTACCGGTATGTATTTCCTTGGTGTTTAGTTCAACTGTCTAATAAACAAAAACGATGATTTCTTTTCTTGTAGTCATTCTTTTCATCTGTTTGTCACAAAATGTAATATACCATAAAGAACCGCTCAATAAAAATATATGATAGCGGTGGAGACAAATAGAGAAAGTTTAATTTTTCATCATTAAATCCACACTATGTATAATTTCCATTATTTCCTTTCATACAGTGTTTTGGATTAAAATAGGGAATGACGTATAAGTATAGAATACCCTTTTGAATATCGATAACATAGCAACTGCTTTCATTAATTACTATTTTTTTTGTCTGTTTTCTTGTTTTATAAACTTTAATTAAAATATCGTCTTAACAGTTCAATTTTGTATAAAATGTCAATTACTGTAAAATGAATAATTTTCACTGGGTTTAAACTTGCTGATTTAGCATTTCAGGCATATTCAGTGGGTTTTAAATTCACGGTTTTATCATTTAGATAATGTGTTCTATGCTGAATTTTACATATTCACTGGATTTTAATTAGCGAATTTTTCAGTCAACGAAATAAGCAAAATTAAAACCCAGTGAATAATTAACCCCTTTACAGTAATTCTTTCGTGCATATTTTTAAAAAAAATCACAGTAATTT